GAAAGGAGAGAAGCCCTTCCACAAAGTTGAGATGCCGCCCATGTCTGCTTAGGGCACCTGGACAGCACTGGGAGGTAGGGCATCTCTGGGTGGGGAGGAGATGGGAAGTTGACTTTTGGACATATTGAGTGAGTGGCTCATGAATACTTCTATCACTACTTCTATCACTGCTCTAACCACAGCATTTTATAAATACCTGCTCAAGTGTCCATGTGTTCATTTCACCTCTGACACTTGTGAGCTGTAAGCTCCTTGAGCTTAGGGATTGGTTTCTCACTCATCTCTGTGGTCCCAGGACCTGGCACAATGGCTGGTGCTCAACAGTAGGTGCTCAGTAAGTGTCCATTGAATGGCAGGGTGGGTGCCCCCATGGAGGAATGACTTTAGCCCATTCCCGTCGCTGAATCCTCCTTGGCGCCAAATCCAAACAGGTAGATGAAATCTCCCCTTGAAGGAGTAGAGGGTGCCCTTTCTTCCCACTGCCATTGTGTGGGGGCCCTGCAGCTTTGGACCAGGCGTAATGAAGAAATGGCCAAGACCTGGGACACAGAGTCAGGTGGCCGAGGAGCCCAAGATAGGACAGGCTTTGGAACTGGCTGTGCCCAGACCATGCCTCTCTCAAGTGGGTGCCCACAGCTGAGTTTGTCACAGCAGGTACACAGGCAGGTGGGGGCACTTGAGGCTGGAGGAAGAATGGAACAGGATGTAGGCTGAAGGGCAAGGGCTAGTCCAGGGGCAGGCTGGCCATGATGTCTGTGCCACCTGGCAGACCCAGGCCTGCTGGAGCTCAGCTCAACCACCTTAAATCAAACAAGGCCACCGTCCCCTCCACCCATCCATCAATATTTATGAAGGAATGAGCAAACCCAAATCACCTCACTCCTGGCCCAGAACTCTCTCCCTGTACCTCTCTGTATCCCAAGTGATTAAGACCTAATGGATCCTGCATTGTCATCAAGGAGGGGCTGTATTCCTGGAGGAGCTGGGCACCAGTCCAAGTCTTAGCAGGCTGCTGGGTGAGGCTGGGGAGTGTTGGCTCAGCCAGGACACACGTTCCAGCTTTCACTGTTACCTGGGGCAGGAAATGGAGGAATCATCTGCTCTCCTGCCCAAGCCATAGTTTTAGGACTTCTCTGTCCTTATTGTATGGATTCCAGCACTTGTGTAGGTACCTAGGGCTTTTAGGGCTTGGCCTCTGCCTGCTTCTAGAAATCTCCACTCAAGGGTCGTCCTGGGCATCACAATGACTGCACACATCTCACCTCACACTCTTCACTCCTACGCCCTCACAGATGCTCTGGGAGTCAGGTTGGTGCTGTTACGTATCAGCAGGACGATTTATCAGGTGGGAGCATGTGTGCAGGCCCAAAAAGGGGAAGGGATGCACCCAAGTTCACCCAGCCTGGGCTGGCACCTGAGCATGTGCTGGCCCTCACCTCCTGCCACCCGCTTCCATTATTCACTCTACTCTAGTCATAATGGACTCCTTGATGTTTACTTCCCAAGCATGCCAAGCTTGTTCCCATCCCAGGGCCTTTGCACTTGCAGTTCCTCCGCTGGGCAGGCTCTTCCTCCAGATCTCCGCAGGGCTTGCTCCTTCCTGCTCATGTGTCACTATCTAAAAGAGCAGCCTCCTTCCCTTTTGTCACCTTCTCCCCTCACACCACTTAATTTCTCTTCAACATAACATATTGTGTGTTTATTTTATATTTCTTTGTTGTCACAGAATGTAAGCTCCTCGAAGGCAGGGACTTTCTCCATCTTATTCACAGCTGAATCCCTGGTGACTAGAACAGTGTATGGAATATAGTAGGCACTTAATAAATATTTATTGAAGGAATGAGCAAACCAAGATCACCTCACTCCTGGCCCAGAACTCTCTCCCTGTACCTCTCTACTCCCACAGAAGCCAGGGAAGGGGAATAGTAAGGGAGGGGTTGGCTCACACTAGGAGGCAGCCTTACCCCTTGACACAGCAGGCACCCTGACTCAGGTCTGCCTCCTGAGGCGTGGTGTGTGTCAGGGGGCTCTCTTGGGCTCTCACAGCATCCCAGGAGCATGGAGGGATCATTGGGGACAGCAATTGCCTCCACTTCAAAGCTCTTTGCCAATGCTGGGACCATCTTTGTCCTTGAACCCAGTATCCTCTGCCCCCTCTTGGATCTGACACTCAACATTTACGAGGCACCTACTGTATGCCAGTCTCAGGATTGGACACTCATCCCCAGACAGCTTTGTCAGCAAGGCGGACAAGCAAACACCACTTGTCTTTAATTGTGGAATCAGGAGCAGCGGGGTGGAGCATTTGGGGTGGGTGGCAATGACCTTGCTCAGGTTGGCAAAGGACAGATAGGGAAGGTTTCAGAAGAGGGGGATATTTGAACTGGTTCTTATAGGATGGGGGTGAGGAAGATAAAGATGGGAGACCCAGCATTGCCAGCAGGGCTCTCACACATCTGTTTCCTCTGCCAGCAACATTGTTCCACTCTGCCCCGCCCACTCACCCCTTGGCCTTCTCTGACTTTCCAGGTGGATAGGTCAGTCTTGGATTCACCCAAAACACCAAGCGTGTCTCATTCATGGAACTTATCCCAGTGACAATGATACAGCTCTGCTGTGCATTTGGTACCAGTCACCTACTCAACCACAAGCTTCTTAAGGGCCGGAGCTGTGTCTGACTTGTTCTCTGCAGTATACAAACACTCAGCATGGGACTTGGCACAGCTGCTCATTAAACTCTTGTTGAATGAACGAATTCTGAATTAATGAAGGTTTGTTTGGATGAATGGATGTCCACAGAGGTGCTGTCCAATAGCCATTGTATATATAATAGGAGTCACGTTGATGCTTTGGAGGGACAGCAGATTAAGAAGCTTGTTATTATGAATGAATCTAGGAAGTGTTTGAGGAAAGAGACCTTGAACACGGGGCAACAGAAGTGGGCTCAGCTCCCCACAGGCCACCCTTGATTTTACTCTGGATTTTGAAGGTTTCCTGTTCCCTTGGACCAGCTAGAACAATCAGCAGTCATTCCTGCCACATTGATAGAGGTCTAAGATCCAAAACAAGGGAGGTGACAAACTCTTTTGCTCCCCCTCTGTCCCTTTCTCACTCTGACCTGGGGCATTGGCAGACAGATCTGGGGACCAGATGAGAAATACAGAGAGGCCCAAGAGTTTCATCATATGCAAGAATGGGGCTGGCAAGGGGCTGGACCTGCTCGGCCTGGAGGTGCTTACCTGGGGTTCATGCAGGTGCAGGAGGCTAGAGACAGAGCTGGGACACCCCCATCCCCGACCCCTACCCTGGGAGTCTCACAGAAGCAGACCTCTTATGTCAGGAAGGACGCTGTTCCAAGCCATTCAACAATGAAACTGGTGGGTGGTGAGCTCCCTATCACTGAAGGACGACTGGCTTCCTGATAAGGCTGCTATCAAGGAAGGCCTGAGTAGAAAATGGGAAACCAGGACCTAGATGACCTTTAAAGTTCCCCTCCCTTAATGAGATGATGTTCTTGCTTTAGGACAGGAAATCATCATCAAATATTTGCTGTGCCTGGCTAAGCAATGGAAAGATAGCTGCCACCTGCCTCAGAGGCATCCGTTGGCTGTGCAGTTTCCTGAGGGCAAAGGATCGCCCAGCTGAGTCATGGACCTCAAGCTGGGCTGGGCTGAAGACATGGGGCTTCTATTGGTCTGTAGGGGTGACTGTCTGGCTCCCTGGGACTCCCAAAGGGGTTATTCTTGAACATCTAAAAGTCAAGTTGTTGTCCTTCAGTCTTAGTTGTGGAGGGCACAGCTAGCTCTAAGCCCAGTCGCCATTTTCAATCTAGTTGCGTGTGTGTGTGTGTGTGTGTGGGGGGGTGTGAAACGCGGCCTACCATCCCATGCGGGAATTGAACCGGCAACCTTGTTGTTAAGAGCATGTGCTCTGACCAACTGACCCATCCAGCTGCCCACCGGCAGCTCAGCTCAAGTCGTTGTTTTCAATCTAGTTGCAGAAGGCGCAGCTCACTGGCCCATGTGGGAATCTAACCAGCAACCCTGTCGCTCAGAGCACACGCTCTAACCAACTGAGCCACCCAGCCGCCATTGAAATCTTTTAAAATAAAAAGGTGTTTTAAAAAAACCTGAAATTTTGGGCCAGCCGAGTGGCTCAGTTGGTTAAGCGCTCGCTCAAGAGTGCAAGCTCTGAGCAACTAGCGGTTCAATTCCCCGCCCAAGCTGAGCTGCTGCTGAGCTGCCAACAGGTGGCAGGATGGCTCAGCTAAAAAAAAAACTAAAAAAAAACACTGAAATTTTGATTAGAATATTTTTGAGTGAGGCCCAGCATCTGCAGTTTTAAATTCTCCCCTGGGAAAACTAATCTGTAGATGGAGCTGAAAACACTGATCTAAATGAATTAGAGAAATACATATGTAAATAAAAATTTATTCTTTAAATAAGTCAGAAAGTTTTTGAAAGTAGATAACCAAATATCTCATTCATATATATTGTGTAAATATAGATATTGATTTTTCTTGATGTCTACATTTAAGCCATTAAAATGCAAATGGACAAAAAATACGTGAAAATCATGAGAGCATGTTCTTTACAATATGTTTTATTTTGTCCTTTTCCCCCTTCTGTCACTTGTGCCCTCTTCATGGTGCCCCCCCCCCCAAAAAAAAGAAAAAGAAAATGATGTAAAATGAAAGATTCCTATTTACATTTACACCCCATTTCATACTCTGCAAAATGTTTTCCCATCTGCTATCACTACTCTTATCTTCACAGCAACCCTATAAGGGAGACAGCCAGAATTATTCCTATTTTGTACATGGGAAAACTGAGGCCCTATTAAAGAAAGTAATCTTTTCTGAGGTCACTAAGTTGGTTGGTGGAGGCATGAAGAAAGGAACCCATGGCTCCGGGCCCTTTTCTCTGCCTCCTGCCACCTTCTAGTTGCTTCCCCACCCCCCACCCCCGCCCTTTCTTTCTGAGCTGCCTCTTTTCTCTCTCTCTCTCTCTCTATTTGATTTCTCTGTTTTTCTTTTTCAACTTCAATTTCCCTCTCCCTCTTTCTCCAGTCCTCAGACTGGCATCAGCTTTGTAAGTTGTCAAACTTTTCTTTACTTTGGAAATCTGACAGGCCCATAGTCATAACCACCCGCCTGCCACCATGAGCTTACTATCTCTGCCCAGATCAAGCCCTTTCCAGATGCTAGGGTGCGGACATTAGCTCCTGGACTCTCCCTCTGGCCCCAGATAAGATAAGAGTAGGGATCAGCACTATAAAGGGGCCCCTCGTCCTTCCCCTGGCCCAGGCTTCAGCTAGCTGAGCCCACATCAGCCCAGGATCAATATGGCTGTCCACCTGTGGGTGGTGACCCTGGCCTTGGCTGCTCTCCTCATTGTGGACAGGGGTGAGTGGGCAGAGCCTGGATTCTCTGTGGTTTGGTATTGGTAGGTGAGCTTGGGTTGGGGGCAGAGGCAGGGCCTGGAGCACCCTGTGAGACCTTGGTTTCCTGCATATACCTTCTTTCTGTGCCCTTCCACCATGGTGGGAAAAGCCCTGACCTAGGAGAAAGGAAACCTGAGTTTAAATCCTGATTCTGGCCCAGAATTGCAAAAATCCCCTCCCCTCTTGGGGCCTCATTTCTCCAGCTTCAAAGTAGGAGGTTGTTCTAGTTCAAGGCTGCCTAGAGCAACTACTGGGCTAGAGATTGGGGAGGCAGAAGGGAGCAGGCCTGTTTCAGGGGAGACAGAAAAGTCTGCTGGGTCCAGGGTGGTGGGTGCCGAAGGGCCTGTTCTGGGTCCTCTGAGCTCCCGTCTGCTCTGACAGGCTGTGACTGTGGTACTGAGAGCAGCTGGGTGAGCCCATGGGAACCCTCTTCCTGGGAGCATTTGCCCTGGGCTGGACATGTGCAACTGGGATGGGGCTTCCTCAGGGCCTGGGGCACCTGTGCAGTCTCACACCTGCTGCGTATCAGGCATTGTTCCGGGCCCTTAGGACACATCAGTGAGCAAAACAAAAAAGAACTTCCCTGATGGAGCTTAAATCCAATAGAGTAGGAGGGAGGGAAATAGACTATAAAAAAGATACGTGTAAAGTACATTAAACAGCTTATTAGAAGCTGATAAAGGCTAATGGAAAAAATAATGGGGCAGGGTGATGGGGATTGGGACAGGGTTGCAACGATAAATCAGGGGAGTTCTTCAGAGGCTGATGTTTGAGCAAAGCTTGAAGGAAACGAGGGAGTGAGTCATGTGGATATCTGGGAGAAGGTTCCAGGCAGGAACAGGCAGTGCACAGGCCCTGGGGTGGGAGCATCCCTGGAGCGTTCGAGGTACAGCCAGGAGGCCAGTGCTGCTGGAGGGAAGTGAGGGGCAGAGTTCGGAGCGATGGGAGGGGAAATAATAGAGGCAACTGGGAACTATCCTGGGTAAGGCCTTGAAGGCCAATGTGAACTTGGCTTTCCTCTGAGTGAAATGGGAGGTAATAAAGGGTTTTGAGCACAGTTAATGTGGCGAAAGTATCTCTCTGGTTGCTGTTGAGAACAGACTAAAGGGGGAAGCAGCGAGGCTACTTAGGACACCTGGATGAAACCATGATGTTACAGATCAAGGCCAAGCAGGACATCAAGGCCATTGACCTCATGGCCAGTCCCATTCCCATTCCTCAGCTGGGGACATAGACCCAGGGGCTCGGGGGCTCTGGGGCGGCACAGCCTGCTTACTTCCAGCCTGGCTTCCTTTCCCTGAGTACTTTTCCTGTTGGGAACACTGAGGGGGACTGCCCTGAAGAGAGTCTTTGTGCCCATTTCAGATTCCTGCTTTGGCTGAGTGAGGAGGGGGCACCTTGGGCGAAGGTGAAGAGCAGCCTGAGGGCGGGAGGGGGTGGGGGAAGATGAAACTTCTTCCCACATTCTCCAGGAAGAAACTCCTCCCCACAATGCACTTTAGTGGTCAATTCCTGAACATTTGCTATGTAGGGGGCATTGCCACATGGGAGCAGAGACAAGGGAGCCCCAAGGAGCTCAGGTCCATAGAGAGGCAAGAGTGGCCCAGTGAGTGGGACAGCACGTGGTGGTGTGAAAGAAGCTGTTATGGTCTGAATGTTTGTGGCCCCCAAAATTATATGTTGAAATCCTAACCCCTAAGGTGATGTTCTTGGGAGGTGGGACCTTCTTGGGAGGTGATTAGGTCATGGGGTCAGAGCTCTCATGAATGGTTAGGGCCCTTATAAAAGGGGCCCCAGAGAGCTCCCTAGCCTATTCCACCATTGAGGACATGGTAAGAAGGCATGGGATAAAACTTGCCAGAAACCAAATCTGCCCATGCCATGATCTTGAACTTCCCAGCCTCTAGAACTGCGAGAAATAAATATTTATTGTTTATAAGCTACCTAGTTTATGGTATTTTTGTTATAGTAGCACAAACAGACCAAAACAGTGGCCTAAATCCAAACCTGAGCAAGAAATCCTGGGGGACATCAGAGAAGGCTTCTCTGGGAGGTGGCATCTGAGCCTTGAAAACATGGTCCGAGTCAATGGGAGGCGATGGGGAATAAGGACATTTCAGGCAGAGGGTACAGGATGATTCAAAGTAGTCTGTTCTAGGAAGAGCAGGCAGAGAGGAATAGCTGGGGTGTAGGGACACGAAGAGGTACACGAGGAAGTGAGTCCAGGAGGAAGTTTGGGACCAGCTCATGCTGTGCCTTAAACATAACATGAAGGAGCTTGGTGATCATGACAGGGAGCGGTGGAAGGGCTTTATATATTTTTAATGCTTTTTTGTGCCCTAACAGTTATATACCATGAAATGCACAAATCTTACTCAATGAATCTTATTCAATGAGTTTTGACAATGCATATACTTGTGTAACCCAGACCCCTATCAAGATACAGTACCCCAGAAATTTCCCTCCTGTCTGTCAATCCCCACCCCAGAGGCAACCACTGCTCTTTATTCCCCCAGAGATTAATCTGGCCTGTTCTAGAATATCACATAGAAAGTTGCATTTACCCCCAGGCTGCCTTTGATCTTGACCTCCAGTCTGTAGTCTTTTGTGTCTGGCTGCTTTGGCTCAGCACGTTTTTTGAGATTCAGCCATGTTGTTGCATTATCAATTGTTGCCTATTTTTTTATCAATAAATTGCCCATTATCAATTTATTGCTGAGTTGTATCCCACTATATGTGTGGGTCACAGTTCATCCATTCTCTTGTTGAAGGGCATTTGGTAATTTCCAGTTTTGGCAATTATGACATGGAAGGGTTTTGAGCTATGTAGACAAGGCTCGATTTGCATTTTGATGCCCCAGTGCCACGCTTAAACAGCATGCCAGAGGTCAGTTAGTCTCAGCTCCTTTCTCCCTCTCTATCTTGGAAATCTCTTGCAATAGAATTCCCAGGAAAAGCAAATACACAATGCCTTGTATACCTCCACTGATGGAGCGCTCTCCACTTCTGAAGACAGCACCCTTCATTGAAGCATAGTTCCCACTGAGAGAAAATTCGGGAACCTAAACCTGCCCTTCTAAAGCCTCCTCGTATGGATAGGCTCTGCCCAAGAGGTTGAGAAGCACTCATCTCTCCCTTGGCCCCAAGACAGGTCTTCAGAGACTTCAGAAAACATCCTGTCCTTCTCTAATTTACAGACACCTTTCCTTCCACCTGTGGTGTTAGATATGGCTCCTCATCCATCCATCATACTCGCTAGTTACATCATAGTTTCTTCAGGTTCTCTAAGCAGTTCATCCAGACCTTCAGGGGCCATGCAGCACACCTGTGTGTGTGTGGAAAGAGCCAGACTAGGTGGTGACAGACTCATGTGCAAACCCCAGTTCTGCCCTTAACTGTGTTGCTTTATCCCTGAGCCTCTTTCATAGGTTGGTCAAGTTCTCCAGGAAACAGACTCAGATGTGCATGCGGTTTATGGGGAGTGCTCATGGGGGTAACACCTGGGAGGGGTGAGGGAAGATGACTACGATGCAGTGTAAACAGAGGCCTCTGATGACCCTGTGGGAGCTTTGGAGCAGGGGCGGCACTTCCACATTGTTCTGAAAAGAGATGATGTTGTTCCCACGTCAACCTGTTGTTGGATATAGGCTGTTCCTGGGTAGGGGATGAACCTTGGGCGAGGTGGCTCTGTTCTCTGAGGGCAATTCCTAGGAAGGGACCCCCTATGAGTGGCAATGCTCTTGGCAGCTGAGGAAATGAGTGCCTCGGTCCTGAGGGTGGAATCCAGGTAGCAGACCACAGCATCCACTACTATCTCCTTTCTTCCTTGTTACATGGTTGTAAGAGGGGTGTGAAGAGCAGTAAGATCATGTATTCTCAATGCTTTGCACATAGTAACTGAATTGTTGTTTTTATTATTACACGGGGCACAACAATTCCAGTGGAATCTGACTAAAAGGAACAACCTGGACTGTCACCTCCCTAATTCTAGACTTTCTGCCTCTGTTTATATAACCCAAGGTCACAACACCTTTCTGGGAGCCCCACTGCCTGGAGACTCACTTCCTTTCCTTGAGGAATTCCAGACTGGGGAGTGGCTGGAACAGGTCCCCTGTAGAAGCAGTCCTCAGACCCCTGTACTTGGGGCTTAGAGCCAACATCACGTAATTCTTGCTGTTTTGCCTTTTAGAAATGCCAGCATCGGCAGAAAAGCTCGTTTTCTCAAGAATGGTAAGGCAGCTGCTTGCAGTTCTGGCCTTCCCTCCAGAGGGAGCCCTCCCATCCATGCTGGGAAACCAGCGTTTTTCTTCTTTACACCCCTGCTTAGATAACTCCAGTGGCCCCCTTAGATAACTCCAGTGGCCCCCTAGTGGTCAGGGTGGCCTCCTGAGCCTGTGTGTTCCCCAGGCTAGCCCTTCCAGGCTAAGCAGGCCTAGCCCCTTTACCAAAGTCCCAAACCTGGTATCAAGGCCCTTGAGAGATCTGCCCCAGCTTGGTCTCCATGGTCCCTTTCAGCAGTGAGATACTCCCCACCCAGGCTCAGCAGGACCAAGTGTGCTCTGCTTTATATAGTGCAGACAGACAGACTGTAGGGCTCAGGCCAGAGAGGTGGCCCTGGAACACTGAATGTCCCTGTGCAGATGCCAGCCTCCCAACCACACCCCACCATCCATCCCTTCACTCTGGAGCACAGACACCAAGTTGTCCCTGAACCCTGATTTCACCTTGGCCCTGGGTCTGATGTCCCCAGGGATCCGAAGGCAGTGGTAGTGGTCTCCTGAGACCCTCGACCCACCCTTCACATAGGTGAATGAGAGGCTCAAAGCCACCTTCTCATCCAGCAGCTCCAGCATCTTCACCATCAGCCCATAAGAACCCAGCCCTACATACTCTGTGCCAGACAAAGAGCCAAATACTTCAATACATTATTTCAATTAACCCTATGTGAGAAGAATACCATTATTATTTAGTGTTTGCCGATGAATAAACTAGGGCTCAGAGAGTAGACATAGCTCATCCAAGTTTACACAGCCCGTTAGTGCAGAACTCAGGTCTCCAGGAGCTGGGGCCTTCACTCTGCACCGCACTGCCTCCCTCACCCTACACCTACCCCAGACTGCGAGCCTGACCGGAACTGGTTCTGAGCCTGACCTCAGGCCTGGCCTGAAACCCTTTCAGACTGAGCCTCAGCTAAGTCCCAAACCCTGTCTCATTTCTCCAGCTTTCCCACACCAGGGGCCTGATAGGTCATACAGGCCAAGGTGAGTTCAGGAGCCCCAGAAGAAGAGGGGCCTTCTGGCATGATGGGTGGTTTCTGTCTCCTAGGGTCCTCAAGAGGGCCAGCAGCAGAGGTTCCAGTTGGATCAACTGAGGAATATATGAACCCACCCTAGAAGCTTGAGGGCACACTCACTCCACACACATAGACTAAACACAGGCACCCTTGGATGCCTGCATACTTGGGCTCAGTAGACACAGGTACACACTAATGTACACACAGCAACAGCCACACACATGGTCATGCATGCATACACAGGCTAACATGCCAAGGTTGGTTTCATGCTCACTGGACCCACACTGGGGCCTTCTTGAATCTGGCTCTTCCCTGGGGCCCCTTTGGGGAGGGGAGGAGCCCCTGGGTTCCTCCTCACTGCCTCTGAATCCCTGAGCGCCCTCCCTCTCTTCTCTTCCACAGCCCATCTGTGAGCATATGGCAGAGTCTCCAGACTGTTCCCAGACATCCAACCTGGTCTGTGGCACTGATGGAGTCACATATAACAGTGAATGCGAACTCTGCTTGGCTCGGATGTAAGTCAGCCCCTCACTTCCCCCTCTGCTTGCTTGGATGGGCCCCATCTCTAGTGCATACAAGTCTGAAAGGAACAAGACTTGACCTACACACTTGACCTGAGAAGAGTTCTTCATTTGCCCCTACAGAATGAGCATGAGTATAATGCATGTACATGGTTCCAAGCAGGAAAATACAGCTGGTAGGGAGCTGGGGTAAGGGCAGAAACCCTGGGTTCTATTCCTTGTTCTGTCTGACTAGGTGACCTCATTTATTTATTCATCCAGCCAACAATTATTTATTGAGCACCTAGTATGTGCTAGGCACTGGGGATACAACAGGGCATAATAAACTAGACAGCATCATTGGCCTCCTGGGGTGTAAGGTCAATCTCAGGGGTAAGCCAAGCTGATGGTTAGCCAGTTGCAACATAGAATGCTAAAGGCTCTGGTGGGAGTACACAGGGTTCTGTGGGTGTAGGGCAAGGGCAGGGAATACTTCCCGGAGGAGGTAACATCCCAGCTCAGCTCTGAGGGATAAGCAGAAATTAGCTAGGAAAACGAAGAAACAAGGAAAGGTAATTCCAAGTAGAGAAATGAGTTTGAAAAGGCGTAGAAGGGAAAGCAAGTTTGTATTTGAGGAAATATAAGACATTGGATACGCTGGAGTATAAAGCTTAAATAGGGGAGAGGCAAGAAATGAGTCTAGAAAGGTGGGCAGGCCCAGAACATGACATTGGTACATCAGGTCACCTGTTTGGTCTCCTGTCTTCATTAATAAAACCCTTGAGCCAG